TATATATATATATGTATATATGTGTATGTATATTTATGAAACAAATCAACAAATCAATTTATTAATTTGTTCAACCTGTAGGAACACGTTAGCGTTAGCTACAATAACGGAAACAAAAACTAAAACGAAATCACGCGCTGTGAAGCTGTTACTTACTTTGCAGCAAACGAGCTGCAGGTAGATGGCCTCCGCATCACGCAGGACGCTCTGCAGGTCCAGCTTCATTGTCAGCTCATTTATATGCTGCAAACCAACCAGGAGAAGGACGGTGAACATGCTGATGATCTGCAGGGGTAAGTTTTGCAGCAGGCAGTAAGGAGGAAAATGATGTTAGACCTTGAGGATGGTGTTAAAGTCGTGGTCCGAGCCGATTAGCTCTCCTCGCTGAGACTCCAAGATGGAGCAGGCGATCAGCAGGTGGAAGTTGCTGCATGGGAGCTGAGACCAGAGGACCTGAGGAGGAGAAGAGAAATGATTGGAAACAGTTTTCATCTGGACTCTCATTGGCTGTGAAGCTCAGGGGCTTGTCACCATTTTCAATCTGGATAAAAAGCTTAATTTGTTTTTTCTTCAGTTTGCCATAAATAAACCAGTTATAACTTGTTTAATGTCATTTTGCTCTCTAATGGGTATCTACATGTTGTTATTTCAATATCCCCGTACAAACGCAGTATACAAAGAGTGACGCTGGTCATTGATATGTCCAGGGTGCCGCTGTAGTTCGTAGTGTTTCACATTATCAGACAACGATAGTGTGGCCTCCAATTCAACACCATCCATCCATTTCCAGATGTGTGCAGCGTCTTCCATTCCATGAGACTTTAACTTGGACCTGTGCTGAGCCTCTTAACCCCTGAAGATAGAAACCAACTGTGCACAAATATGAATTTTTTGCAAACTCAGGCTAACTAAAGGTCCAGTTTTTTTGTTTTATTTCAACAATGTGCTACCTTTCAAGAAATAGAGGGAATTGTCAGGTCCACAGATTCTAACAGCTACTTTTGGATTTATGCAGCAAAGTCCAAACAGTTTGGACGTAAAGGCCAAAACCTTCAACCTTCTATTCTCTATTCTATTCTGATTTAGACCTGGAGAAGTGGAGCAAACAGGGACTTGGCAGATGAAAAATGACCGGGGGCAAAAATCTTAGGTTTCCACTAAATCTATCATGCATATAAGAAGCGTTGAATAAAGAAATGTAACTGTAAAAGCTATGCTACTTCTTGCTGTTAGCTTAAGACACTAGATTGACATGGCGTGCAACAAGTCGTACGTCAGTGTTCCCATAACAGCTCCACTCTGAGGAAGCCTGTAGCGAACCCGCTCTCAGTGTCACGCTACGTAGCAGCCTTTATCTACATCACTGGATAAGACACTGTATAGAACGTAACACGGTGACATTTCTGTATCTGATGCTTCTATGCATGGAATTCATTTAATACAAACCTGAGAGTTTTATTTCTGGTCATTTGTCATGAGGTGAATCTGTGTTCGATTACTCTGGCCTTTTTCAAGGACCCAGATTTGTGGCAAATTTTAGAATTAAAACCAAAGGGAAATTTGTCAAACTGAATTTTTAATGCAAGTAAATACAATTTCAAAGCTGATTAATCCATTTCGTATGAATACGGTTTTTAACTCAGTTTAATATTAACCAGAGTAAAATGTTTAGTAAAATTTACCTTTAAACCAATACATTTGATTTAGCATTTTGCATTTACAGATTCACTCTGAGAAATTTCAGAGGAACTTTTCCAAATGAAAGTCTGAACAAATAACTTTTTTTTTTTATCTAACATTTTATCTGTCAGTGAGTCTCATCCTAATGTGTTTCCAACTTTATTGTTGCGGGTGGCCAAAAACAATCATTCAGAGGACCATAAATGTCCCCCGGGCTGTGCTTTGGAAACCCTTGTCTTTGTTGGTTTGCAGTTGTGGGTTTTTCTACATTTTTCTACTTACTACTGTGGGTGATGAATGGAACGCTGCTAGATGACATTTTCAGGCAGCTAGTTGACTTTTATTTTAGGGTAAAAAGGTAAATTGGGGCTGAATAAAACATGGATGCAACACTTTTTCGATTGTACTTTCAAAAGATGCATTCTTATGCTTTGGTATGTTTATGAGGGGTGGGTTGTCTGTCTCACCTCCCACAAGGTAAGTATGTCCTCAAAGGAAAACTCTCTTTTGAACCAGATGAGCAGCCAGCGGAAACAGAAGCAGAGGGAGCCGCTGTCCTGAGAGTCTGAGGGCCATAAAGAAAATGTTTAGTCTCATTTCCGTTGGATAAAAAAAAGACAAAAACATTAAAATCATGCATCATTTTAGTGCATAAGGAAGTGATTTCATAAAATATGTTTCTCTCACTTCTTTATCTGTCCTACTTTTCACCAATCATTTGACCAGGGGTTAATTTTACTATCAAGTCTGACTGGAAGAGCATCAGCTGAACTAACCGAGGAAGTCACACAGCTCTGGGTCCAGAGCCTTCAGCAGGATACTCAGCTGAAGGAGCTGCTCCTTCATCGCCTCCTGGGACTCCTCAAAGTTATGATGCTGCAAAAAGAAGAGCAGGAAGATAAGAGGGGGTTAATGCATGGGAAAACCAAATAAAAGCAAGGGGAAAAGGTGATGCAGAATAATGGCCTAAATGCAAATGAATTGGTAGAAAATAAAGCAAAACAACTATGGAAACATTTCAAATCAACTAGTTCAATCATAACTGTAGAGAGAAAGTTCTTAACTAACCACCAGCTCCATGAAGCCAGTCAGACACCAGAAGGACTCCACTTCATTCTGAGTGACAAACAGGATGGGAGAGAGGAGGTCGCTCATCCCCTGGACATAACCTGGACAGAAGGAGACAGGGAAGTCCTCAGTGGGATTGGAAAAGAAAAAAAATATTTGCTCTTCTAATGAAACAGTTAACCCTGTTTTAAATTAAAGGAGTTTGATGCATAAAGAGAAAATCCATCTGCAGCCGGCAGTTGATTTACAATCTGCTGGGCAGTATTTGGGGAAAGATAATTTCAAAACTATCTGATAACAAATGGCCAACAGAGAGGAAGAATATTTAGAAATGGATCCAATCACAGATTCTACAAAAAAAAAAAAAAAAAAATCAGAGCTCCTTCTCAGAGTCCACAGACTAATGTTTAACTTTAAGTTAAATATTAGAGTTCATGACCAGACAATTGAAATTGGAAGAGTAAAAACAGAAGCTTGACTTGGTTTGAGCTCTGGAACATCGTTTTTTAGATGAATGAGACTAAAGCTCAGATATTTGGTCACAACAGGCATCATCAAGAAGCATGGAGGTGGAGGAGGAAAGGGCTCGTATGCAACTATGTGAACCAGGAAACCTGATTCACTTACAAAGAGTTTGAAATAGTTTTGAAATTTTGATTATTTTTCCATTTTATTGAGTTTTGACTTTTGATTTTCAATTCTACTTTAGTTTTGTTTTTAAGTTGTTTTTAGTATCTGTTAGCTAGTTTGGTTTAGTTTTTTATTTTTTATTTTATTTATTTATTTTTTTAAAATGCTTAGTATCAGTTATAGTTTTCGCCTTTTATGTAATACAATTTGGATACCAAGAGCAAGAATAAAAAAATCCCTAAAACAATAGAAATAAAATCTCAGATAAGGACAGCCTGCTGCAAGAACACATATGACCTGAGTGCTGTACTGCCCTCTACTGGCGTAATGCAGTACAGCAACCAGAAACCAGATAATGCATTATGATGAAGACACAAACAAAAACTAAGCACATTCTCTCCTAAAAAATTTTTTTCTTTATATTTTAGTAAACTCTTTTTAACATTTAAGTTATTTTTGTGTGAAAAGTGTAGTTTCAAATTTATTTCAGTTGATCAAATTTTTTTTTTATTTTAGTTTGTCATTCAGTTAGTTTTAGTAAATGGTAATAACCTTGACTGACTTGACCAGTTTTTTCTGGGGTTAAATTTAAAGCCATCTGAACAGAAAATTGACGTCAAACCACAGCAGCAGTTCTACAACAGAAAAGAACTAAAGTGTTAAAACGGCCTAGTCAAAGTCCAGACCTACAGACTGGTAAATAATTCCCCAGTTAAAACCAGAGACAATTTGAAAGAGGGTCTGCGTTCCTTCATTTAGCTCACACAGGAGGGGGTTCTCTCCTCAAAAGGCATCCTGTGGTCAATATAACTCTGCCCTCAGCTGTTTAAACAATCAACCTGTGATTAAACCAAAAGCGACAGTGCACAGCTGCGTTCTGTCATGAGCACGCACCGAGGTCGAAGTTGTACATGCAGTAAGTCATCAGCACGTCGTGGAGCAGAGTCAGGCCGGGGTTGTCGTTGCCGGAGAAGAACGTGTTGTTCCTGTCCGTCCTGTTGACGTCCCTCTCTGTCAAGGACAGCAGAGCAAAGGAATCAACAGCTGCTGCTGGGAAAATAACATCCTTTTGTTATGTGGCATGCAGGAGAGCTGACCTATCAGGCTCCTGTACCCTCTGAGGAGGGTGTTCCTCATCTCCTGCTCTTCGCTCACAGACTTCCACTGCACCTTCATCCGGAAGTACTCATCCCTGCAGACACAGATGATGAGAGGAAAAGTTCTATATTCAGCAGGCTGTCAGCAAAGTCTGGGTATATATAAGGGAGAAAACTGACGTTTTGACTCGAAGAATGTCCTCTCTTTCCTTTGAGGTGCTTTTCCATGGATAGAAACCGAGGAGGAACTTCCACACTTCTTTCCTGAGCGATGGAGTGATGCCCTGCAGCGTTTAAATATAATTAGTTTTTGCTTTGCTACAAATGAAAAAGGTTGTGTTGGTCCCTCCTTGTCCTGTCTTACCCCTCTGAACACGAGTTCTTTGACTTTCTCCGGGTCCGTCACCCGGCCTTCGGAGTCCAGAAACTCCTCCCATTTATCCAGGGGTTGCCCCCTGGTTACGTCCGGCCTGGGGCCCAGCTCCACGCCCTGCATGGGACAAACAAGAATGAGCGGCGCAGCTCAGTTATCTTTCCCCCCAATGTTCTTTTTGTCCTTTTCTTACGCAGGTGATGAGCTCAAATCCAGGCTCGTCGTCAGGCTGCGCCGGCAGACCCGGTCCATGGGCAGCCTGCCTGACGGGGGCGTCAGGAGGCCGGAGAGCCGCGCGGAAGAAATTGGTGACCTTGGAGAATCCTCCAAACGTGGTGGCGTACGGGTCGTGGATGAATCTCTGTTGGGGTTGGACAAAACGGAGGAAAATTAAGACAAAACGTTTTGGCTTGAAAACATTTTGAGATCGGCCTCAAAGTACCGCGACGATGTCGGAGCCGTCATCCAGGATTTGAAGCTTGTCGAAGGTCTGAGGGAAGGCTTCCGAGCTCGAGTCGCGTGGGTATGCAAGGAAGAGGCGCCCGTCAACAGGAGACCTGAAGATGATCACACCAGGCAGCATGTAGACCAACTGACTCTTCAGCTTAGATCCATAATTAAAGGGTTTTACAGGTTAGCGATGTTTGAAAGAAATGCTAAGAAGTTCTGATCATTTGGACTCAGCGGTAATGAGGTTTTCTCAGCAAGGAGAAAAGGATGTTTCTTAAATGATACATCTGTATGGAGCACTTCCTTTTTATAAATAAAGTTGTTTTTCTGGTCCGCAAGCATATGCTAAAGCACAAAGAAGGATTGATGAAAAACTGAAAACTGAAAAGAATCTTGTTAGAGCCCAAAGAAGGATTGATGAAAAACTGAAAACTGAAAAGAATCTTGTTAGAGCGAATGGCATCATGAACACATTTGAAAATGAAACTGCTGCTGGATTTCAGCTGAAAAGGGAAGCTTTAGGATGCAGATCATGTCTCTAAACTAACACAGCAAGAGGAAGAGGAACAAAAAGCATCATTTTTATAGGAAGATGTCCCAGATTAGCATCCTACAGAGAAGCTATGGGGTCAGCCAACAGCAGAGCTCTGCTGATTTTATCAAAGGTTATGATGATACTCACTGGTCCAGGACGATGTAATGGTGGAGAGCCTTCAGAAGTTCCCTGGTTCCTCCTCTGTGGAAGTGCAGAGGAGGAAGCGGGTGGCCCCCTCTGCTCGTCAGCACCATGAAGTTCCGACCCAGGGAAAAGCGGGCCCTCCGGAGGGAGTACAGCTCCGACAGAGGCAGAGAGAACGCCCACTGACCTGTGATTAGAAAAAAAAAATGTTTCCATGAGTTTTCATCAAATAAACGCTGTGGCTGTAACTGTAGGAAGCAGAGAGTAAAACCTGAGTCTTTCACTTGGGCGTGTTCACGGTCTTTCTTCACGGTGCTGATGACCGCCCAGTCGGGCTCATACCCAGGGTCAAAGTTCATGTCCTCCTCGCCTCCTTCCCCATCCTGATTAGAAACAAGAAGAACAAATGATCACAACAAATGCAAACATTTCTTTTTTTATATATAAAGCACACATTAAGTGGTGGCCAACCTTCCTGCTGTAGAGGACCGTAGGCGCGCTGCGTCCCTCGTCCTGCAGGGGGCTCCATTCTAAAGCGGGCACTCCAGCCTATAGAAGGGGAAATGATCAGTCCATCCCTGTGCTTTAGAAAGATGGCATCCAGGTGCCGGTTTTCATACCCGTTCTACGATGCGGATAAATCCCGGGATGCTGGTTTCCTGGAGCGTCCTCTTGGCATTGGTGTGAAGGTAGACTCCCTCTTTCTCAAATATCAGCTGAGAGGAAGAAGAAGAAACCTTCAGTCAGACTTGCAAAGTGAGCCAATCAAAATCGAAGCTAACCTTTGTGCTTTTAAGGCCCCGTTTGAACCAAACAGGGAAAACCCAATTAATCAAACAGGTGATGATGCTCGGAATCAATAAACTAATCACAGAGAACGAAAACAGTCTGTGACTGTTAATGATTCCTATTGATTATTTCCAACGTCTACAACCCCCCCACCCATTAAAATCAGGGAAGCTCTGGATTCGATACCAATATGGCAATATGAAGCATTGACTAACAGCTGATATTGACCCAATACAATATCAGCAAGAATCATACAGATTGTTATTCCTTAGTTTGTGGTTTAGATAATTAGAAAAGGCTTAGTAAACAGAGAATAATAATCAACAACAGGTAGAACAGATCTATTTATTATTAACCGGTGGATTAGATAAACATATAATGCCGATACCAGAGATTTTAGATCCAGGCTGATGTACGGTTGTTTAAAAAATATCGATGCTCTAAGAAGCATGTAAACTCTACGGAAGAGGATTAGGGCCACTGAAAAAAAAAAAAAAGTTAACTGGTTTTTAAATTTTATTTCAGTTTAACATGGGGGAAAAAAGTCAGAATTCTTTTTTCTCAGAATTCTGACTTTTTTCTCAGAATTCTGCCTTTAATGTCAGAATTCTGACAGCTAACAAACATGTTAGCATCAAGCCATAGCCATGTCTGTTTTAGAGACTTGCTCTCTTGTTTTAATGACCTTCTGCTCCTC